TCCCTGCTGGGTCTCTTTGGATACACGAGGCTGGCCATCCGGAAGAACTCATCCGCAGCATCCAGAGCTATGAGCCGATCCTGCCAAAGCAACAGGATTTTACAGTCACTACAGGCTGCTTTGGGCAGCTCCTTGGTCAGGGTCCTCCCTCTAAGGCTGCTCTCAGGTTAAGCCAGGCGTTAGGTCTAATCTTTTCCCACTTCATTAACAGGCTGCAAGAGTACCCAGTTGCACAGGCTTAAAGGAACTTGGGGGGGGGGGCAAATTTACGGTACTACAGCACTGACATTTCCAAGGAAGCTGAACAGCCAAGCTACAAGTGCAACATCTGATGGGGATGCCCCAGACGCCACCATGTATTTGAGCATCCTCTGGTGCAGTTCACCTATCTGCTCCCCTTCATTTGAGCTCACTTGCAGAGATGGGGGCCACAGGGAGGAAGGCACACTCAGAGCTACTCACCACCACGAAGAGGTAGCGCTCAGAAAGCTCCCAGCTGGTCGGGAAGATGTTTGTCTCTTCAGAGAGCTTTAACAGGATGTCCCGGGCTTTGCCCATGTTCTGGGAGTCGCTGATGATGCTGAGTTTGGTCACGGACAAGAGGGAGTCCGCTTCCTTCTGGAAACCTGGGAAAGAGATGTGTTACAGAAGCGAGCCAAAACATGTGAGCAGGGTCATCCCTGAGCCCTCCAGGCTCTTGCAAGGTTCCCTATACCCCCTCCACCTTGGGCTGCTGCGTTCCCTGCTTGCTAAAACAAACTAGCATCTCGTTGAGGCACGCTCCATGGCTGCACTTGGGGCAGAGCTTGCTGTTGGGGAAAAAAAAAATATAAACCTATTCAGAGCAAGTTTGTTGTTCCAGGAAAGGCATATGAACATCCACCCCCAGGGTGCTGATTCAGCTTTTGTGTGTTCCTGATGCTGCCAGAGCTTTCATGGCTGGTGAGGCTTCCTGAGCACCCCAGCAACTAAGCCTATAAGTTGTTGGGAGGTAACAGTAATAAAAACCTGCAGCAGTAATGAATGCATGCGTAATTGTTCCTGTAGCAGTCAGCATGTCTTATAGGAAGGGTATCCAGGGAAGGAAAGGGGGAAAATGAATGCAGGGATCTTTAAATGTAATGGCTACCATTAACTCCTTGTTCAGCTCCAGGGAGCTGGTGGTATTGCGTCTCACCTGAAAACATTTATGGGGAAAGAGTGGTGGTCTTATGATTAAAGCACAGGTCTAGGTAACAAAAGATAGCAGGTTTCACATCTGGTTGCATGTGTAGCTTCGCTAAGGCCAAACGATCCCCGGCCTTGAGCTTCCCCACCCTTTGCAAAACAGCTCCGGAGCCATTGCGGACGTGAGGGAGATGTGGGAGAGCCTTTGTCAACGTGCAGTAACAGATGTAAGGATGTCAAATGATCCCTCCCATGGTTGGTCTGTACAGGCTGTGCGAGCACCTGGGTGAAGATGAACGCTGATACCTAGTTATGAATTTATAATGTTCCTCCCCTCCAGATGCCAGAACAGCAGGTAGGGCAGGAGCGGCTGAGACAGATACCCATCTCTTTTGCTCCCAGTGATAATATCCCTGAACAGCCCAACAAGTGCGCTTGACTCACACGTCCCCCTCTCATTAGCTCCCAACCACCTCCAGAGCATGATGCAAGTCACCAAGCTGATGTGCCACACGGCACACCTCCTTGGCCCGAGTGTCACGCGCTGCAAGGCAATTGGGAAAACCAGGTCACACCCGCCACTGCCTTCTCCAGAGGAGCAGCACCTGAGCACAAGGACTGGTGGGTGCAATTCACTGTTTGCAGGCTAGGAAATAGCAGGAGTAGGAGGGTCACTGTTGAGAAATTTCATGATGAAAGAATATTTCAAATTTACTTAGGAGCAGACAAAGTGGGTAGTTTAGCTCTGATCAGCTGGCATGGGCTACGGAAGGAAAACAGATGTATCTACGTTTCAAATCTGAAAGGAATAGTTATGTCACCTTGCTTATCTTGTTTAGAAAAAAACAGGATGAACCCGCAGGTATCCCTGCTAAGTTTCCACAAGGAAGCTTGAAATGGATGAGTGTGCATGCTATTATGGGCTTGAAAGGTTCTCCTGCTCATTGTGGTTTGTGGGCTTTCTGACGTGCCTGCAGACACGCTGGCCCTGTCTCTTCTCAGCTGTGCCTGAGCTCTGAGGATTCTCCCACAGGCTCGCAGCTGCCGTGTGGGCTACCTGGCAGCATTGCTCAGCAACCTTGTTTTATTTTCCTCCCCTTTTCCTCTACCAGCCTGATTTTGCAGAGCCATTCCCATCCTCAGCTATCATGGGACTTCTCATTTGGTACCACACAAATGACATCCTTTTGTCCTCTAGCTTACCTAAATCCTCCAAAATGTGTTTCCACCTGCTTCTCACTTCTTTTCGGGTCTGCCGTAAGGTATAAATATCATAGTTGAGCTTTTGCCATTCCTGTAAAGCAAAGCAGAAGGAGATACTCAGTCACTTGCATGTGGGGAGGTCTCTGCTGCTTTTCTAGGAATTTCAGCTTTTAGAAATGGAGCCAGAGTTGAACTATTGATGTTGTCACTGAGGGATCAATGTGAAGGTTGATGGCCAGGCTGCTGTTGCCCCTAGAAGAAATTATACTGACTAGCGTAGAATACTTTAGCTTGACATTTGGTAAAGTATCTCTGTAACTTCTCTCCATGTACAAAACAGGCTTCCAGTTACCTTGAAATTGGATTACAGAATTTAGCTTAGGTGTTGCTGATGACCGAAGTGGTCTCCTCGGTCAGACAGGGAGAATGTAATTCCAGCTCTGCGCTGGAAATTATAACGCTGTCCTAGGCTGGAGAACAGCATGAACTTCCAAATGTACTTCATTTGAAAGACTTCAGTCTCTTTGGTCCAAAGCCCTTTACCCCAAACCTTGACACCCCTGCTAGTATCAAAACCTGAAGTTGTGAGAATACCTTATTTGGCCTTTAACAGTTTGAGAAAGCATGACCATATATTAATAATTACCTTCTATATACTATTGCAACACCTTATTTTCATATCCGTGCAGTTAAACTGGCATGGCACATTTTCTTACAGCTGATGATAGCCCAAGGGAAACCAGAAGTTTGAAAAAAAAGTTACTGCTCTCAGTTTGGTCACACATACAGTGGCTTCTCCAAACTGCTCAGCCCTCTGGCATTTTAACTGGAATAGGCGGGTTTTCAAAAGTACTGGAAAACAAGAAAAATAGACTTGTTTTAAAGGCTGGAGTGCCCATTTTTAAACAGCAGAGCAGAGGGATGCACGTGGATGATTGAGGACTGAGCTGGAGTCGTTTGATATAATAACTATTCTTGGTGATGCCAGTTGCTGCAGTTAATGCCTCGCTTAACTATACAGCTTAAATCCTTGCACTTCACCTCAAGCTTTGTATCTGCATAATGGGACAGCATCTAAGGGGGAAGGTTTTGAGGTTATTTATTAAAGTTATACCAGCACAATTAAACACATCTGTACAAGTATGCATTCCTGTGGAAAGGCATGTATTCTGCAAGAAAACCAGGAGTATTTTTCCCAGCTGAGTTTAATCAACACACACACTGAAAAGGATGCATTTACAGAAGCATCCACACAGTGGGTCATAACATCACTCAGATAATTTCCCTGCACTAACAACCTTAATTAATCTAATTTCTCAGCAACAGATTACATAGATGGACTCTTGTAGAATAAATAGGTGTTAATCTGTGCTGTCTCCCTGGGATTTTCCGACGTGACATGCTGGGTTCAAAGGGGTTAAATAATACCCATGAAGGTAGGCTGTGCTTTAGAAATCCCGCTGGTTTTCTGATACCTGGTGCCTTAAAGAGTTTACTTGATTTGATAGAGTTGGAGATTTCTTAGTGTTTTTTTTCCTGAACCTGGCTGACATGCCACGACTGCAGAGAATTAAATGACGAGCCTGTTTTCTTGTTGTTCAGTGATAGCTGTAGGAACCCCTTGGAGATTACACTTTGGAAGAAGCAGCCGGTAGGGCTAAAACATTGGTGAATTCAGGTCAGGAGAGCCGAGGAAACATGGCTCCACCTGCAGCCACTTGCTCTGCACTGCTCATCCTCCTGGACAGCAAAATCCCCTTCATTTTTAGCTTTGTGTTGCTGCTCGCAACAAGCTAGCTTTGCCAACCAGAGCTCCGTTTCTCTCTTGACTGCAGCAGTACTTGAAAACAGCTTTTCTGTTTGCACAGGAGGGCACCTGGCTGCCAGTGCAAGGCATCAAGACGCCTCTTCAGCTCTTCGCTAGAGAAACGAGGCAGGGACAAGACTCCTCTCTCCCACAACACCAGCTTGTAGCTAGGAATTAAGCTCCTCTCAGTGAAAAAGAAAAGAGGGGTTTTGTTGTATTAAAGCTTTGTGGGAAGTTTATTGCAAACTTGAAAGTTTTAAAGAAAGAGAATAAAGGCTGCATGGTGCTGCGGTCCCCACTGGGAGGGATCCCTTGGAAACATCTCAGCCTGCTCATGACCCCACGGTATAAGCAGAAAGGAGGGCAAACCAGTCTGGGCATACCGGTAGGGAAATAAGCTGCGTGTCTCTGCCCTCCCACAGAGATAAACGAGTGCTTTAATGCAGACAATGATTGCAGGCATGCTTCACACTGCCAAATTAGTGAGCCGGGGCGGGGCGGGGGGGGTAGGACAGATGCTCCTGTCCCCAAAACACAGCTTGCCAGGCAGCAGCTTTCAGGGCTGTAAGGATTTACCCCCTCTCCCCCCCACAGTAGCGAGCCAGACTCCTCGCTATGCTGAACAGCGAGCAGTGCTTAGCATGCAGGGAAGCTGCTCCTGATTTTCTCTGGATTAACAGCAGTGTGTTTTCCCTTGTCTATTTTTGTTTTAAGAGAATCTAGGTTATGGCTTTCTTGTACGTTGTAGTTACTGAGTTGCGTTATGGAAGCGAATACAGTGCATATTTAGTCCTGCTGATGAAGAATTTGGGGAGTATGCAAAGGAGTGGCTTTGGTACAGAAAATTATGCTTAACGTTGGTGCCTGGAGGGGGGACCTCTTGTTTTGGTGGTATTTCTTTTGCCTGTGTGTGGAGCTGAATGTATTTATGTTTCCCCAGAGAAAGCTGGGAGGAGGATCCTGCACATGGTGCCAGTTGTTGAAAAGCAACTAGAGACAGCAGAGATTATCAGGGTGAGGATGGGCAGCTCCGGGCTAAGCTCTCGAAGGGACTCATGCCCTGTTCTCCATCAGCCTTAGAAAGCACCAGGTTTTTGCAGGTGAGTCCTTATAGCAGAGACACCCCAAAAGCTGTGGGCAGGGGGTAGTCCTCTGTGTTGCTTTAATGAGGGAAATAAAGCTAAGAGCATCTTTCCACCCCAAAAATTATTCTAGAAAGCATCTCCCTTTAACTACACAGCAGAGGAAGAGCAAAGCCTGCTCAGCCCTGCATCTCCGCATAGGAAAGGGCAACAATCAGAGACTTTGGGGAGGGTGTTCCCCATGCACATCCCATGAGTCACCAAGAGGTGACCTGGGGAGGGAGCGTTTGGTCGGGGCCGGGCGGCATCACGAGGCCAAGGCTGCTCAGCACCTCCTGCCAGGCAGCCCCAGGGCAGGCAGCCGGGGCTCCACACCAAACCCCGCGCTCCCTCAGCCCTTACTGCGGCTGTGACGGGGCCGCTGCGGTGTGCCAGGGCACCGGTGAGATGCAGGACAGGGCATGCCGGTCCTTGGGCAGCCCTGGGCAGAGCAAGGCCGGAGCAGGCTGCCCTCTGTGCCGCATCCCGGGCTGGCTACCCCCCCGGAATCCCTTCCAGCGAGCTGTCCGAGCCTGTATGCAGGCATGGGACAAGCAGCTCTCTCCCAAAACTTAGCTTCATTTTGCTTTTCTTGTTAACCTTCGTTCCCTGTCCTGCCTCTTGCCTAGTTAGATGTAACTTCTGGAGCGGCGAGGAGGCTTCCCGCACACAGTACTGGGAAAGTTCAGTGGGAGACTGGTCTTCACCAAACCCCTTGGTGTTTCTACAGGTCTGGGACATCCCAGTGATGAACTGAAAATCAACCCTTTAAGAAAAACACCCTTTTGCCAAAATCTGAATTAACCACAGGAAACCAAAGCAGGTTGCAGTTCCTGGCCCCGTTTTTTTGTAACCAGTTTTGCCCTTTTAAGCCTACATAGGAGGGCACAACATATACCAGTGGGGGCGGGGGAAAACCCTTTGTGGATGAGTCAAGAACATCCCAGGAGCAGCAGGGAAATCCTGCTGCCTCTCTCCTCTGAGCACTCAGCCCTTCAAATGGTTACCTGGAAAATTTCCCTGGACTCTCTAGTGTGATATACTAAATCTGCAAATGCCAAATGGAAATGAGGAAATGCTGGGCATGAAATATAAGCTAGGTTGGTACATAACCGAGCACGCTGGGAAAAAATGTGCCAAAAGAACAGGCAAGCACTGTCCAACTTTTCATCCCTGCTCATATGGAAATTTCCTAATTAGTGGGTAGCTTTCCTCATGTTGCCAAAGCAATCGTCTACCAAAGCCTTCTCCTTTATTCCCTTGAAAGCAATTGGTGTCACCATTCTGTTCAAGAGTGATTTTGGAAATGAGGTCAAAACAGAGTTATGAGGGAAAGACTGCAAAATACCAGTCCAGGCAGGTACCACGCCACATCTAGGGGTGATCCTACTCTGGCTCTGCGACTGGCCCCACTGGAAGGAGTAGAGCAAATACAAACTCTAGATCCACACTCATACACTAAACCATCAACCGACATCTCAGCTTGGAATAAGCTTAAACTGGGTTCAGTTTTAAGAGGGGCATGCAGGAGTTCATAATTTTTTGAATGTATTAAGTGGGTCAGTTCTGGGCTCCCCAACCAGCATCCCCAACCCCGGGCAAATCCCATCACCTCTCTATGCCCCAGCAACAGTGTGTCACAATACTGACCTTCTCTGTAACGTGTTTAAAAAAGAATAATCCTGCAGGAGAGCAGGAGGAAGCAAAAAAATAGGCCTTGTCAGCTTGTAATGGGCTTGCCAGGAGGATCATGCCAGCACAGCTCTGTTAGCCTGGCCCCCAGCAGATATGCAGGCTGAGGAATTGCCTTTGCTAGTGGGGTTATGATCCCACCTTCCCCAAGGGAATAACCCAAAAGAAGAAAGAAATGTTGCATTTACAACAAGCCATAAGAACAGTGTTTCTTCCTCAGTCATAAGGCAAAACCCCACCTTCAGTTTCTGTTCACAGACCTGTGGTGCAGCGGCCCTAACTCCGGGTCCTTCCCTGAAGCCAGCACCAGTGCGACAGCCCAGGCATTCTGCCTGCGGCTGGGTAACTCCACGCACCCCATCAGCAGACACTGAGGCACCAGGACCACTACAAACTGGTCTTTGTGGAGGGGGACATCTGCCACACCATGCACATAAGCCAAATAAGCCCAGCTCTTGCTGTTAACATTGGAGCCACAGCAGTCCCCCTTCCCCATAAAACACTTTTCTCCGCATTAGCAGGGTACATGCTGGAACAGTGACTTGGCCTGTACCTATGCAGCATCTTAAATAACATCCTGTTTTCCTAGTGGTCCTCATCTCACCTCCAGATTTAGCGTCTTACTTTATACCACAACAGGTTCAACGATGCCACATGGCAGGAGCAGGAAAAAAACATTTTTTCCATATTTGAAAAGTTGACCCCAGCCTTCAAAAGCTTTGATGACAGCTTTGATCTCCAAAGGCTGCATCAGCTTTACCAGCCCCCTTAAGCCAGCCCTTCAGGTGCAGCTTTTCTGGTTTTCTCTGCACACACTCTCCCTTGCCCACACTTTGCTTCCAAAAGTGCATTCAAGCACACCACACTCATTGGCCTCAAGCAGAGAGAAATGCGGAGCTGCTAGTTGCTCAGTCCTCATGGTTTTAGAAGGCTCCAGCGAATCTTGCCTCATGTCCCTATCGCACAGTGGGTTTTGCAACCGCTGGGTGCTCCAGCAGGCTCCACCATGGCCAACGGCCCCCTGAGCCGTCACTCCCAGCACACAGCACTGAGCAGGACGAGCAAGCGGGCGTGAAACAGGGCACACCCGCAACGTCACAGTGCTCGCTTTGAAGAGCTTGCTGCCCTGGTTCAGCGAGGAGCATGGTGGAGCAGCCCTGCCATCCTTACTCAAGCGAAGGTCGCACGGAGTTTGGGCTGGAGCTGCCAAATTTCCTGGAGTGTGGCCATCAGAAGGGGGCAGGAAGGAGAAATGACTCCGTGTGGATTGGGTATGGGTCCAGCCCCACGGTGGGCACAAGGAACTGACCCCAAGGGAGGACACCAATGCTGTGAGTTGTTAGCAGCCCCACCACCAATGATTTAATACACGTAAAATTGATTGAGCTACAGGGTGCACTCGGCATCGGTGCGCCTGGCCCTTCATATACACAGTTTGCTTTATTGATTTACAGCAATCCACGGCGCAGAGGTACCCAGGCCAGGAGAGAGCTACCATGGACCATGCCTATTCACGTCCAGCACTGTGCCGACGTCACCACTGCACCCTGGCCCACCGCTTCTCCTGTCCTAGCTTGCAGCACCTTGTCACTATGTGAACAACCATGTTAAAAAAAAAGAAAATACCCAGGAAAGCAGAAGTGGGTTAGCTAGATTAAGAAAAACACGATACTGGTTTGAGGCTGAGGTGGTGCCATACAGGCGAAACACACGTGACATAGAATGAACTGCTCTTTGGGATCCTTCCAAAGTCCTGTCCTAGGAAATCCCAAAGATAAAGGTGGGGAATGGCAAAGCACACAGTAAGTGCACAGCATGCCGAAATTTCTTTGTTAAATGAAGGAGCAGAAATACAGGGACAAGTTCTCCTTTCAGACCAATTTTAACCAAGAAGAAAAAAGGACCTATGGTTTTGTAATGCTTGTGCCCTGCATAAACAAGAAACGGTTCCTTCGTGCCCTGTCCTGCAGCATCCACACACTCTCCCCGGGGACTTTGGGAGCAGCGCAGCTCCCAAAGCAGATTACGGCTTTTTGCAGCCCAGTGCTGTTTTCCAGTTAGACTTTTTTTCTCTCTCTCTCAGGGCTGAAGCCTCATTAGGAGGGGACGGCAATGCAATCTGGCCTAGTTTTAACATGCTCACTGGAGTAAGGAGAGATTTCGGCACCCAGGGCCGAACACAGGAATGTCGGCTTTGCCGGCCAAGTCCCTCCCTGTTCTGCCGCCCAGAAAAAGCTGCAGCTGGAAACTGCAGCAGCTTTCTGGACTTATATATTGTGCCTCAGTTTCCCTAGCGGTAAGAGAAAAACAGCAGAGAGGTTGGCAATCATTAACTGTAAAGGGACTGTGCCATAATTCAAATCAAACATATCATGTGTTGGCTTTCTTCGAAGTTGGCCTGATGTTGTACTCCTCAGGCTTTTTTATTAATTGCACTACATAAAAAAACAGGGTATGTGATCTTACATTCGTTGTGGAGAGGAGGCCCCATGCTCTCTGTGCTTTCCTTTTTCAGTGGCAGGCATGGCAACTGCACAGACCCACTAAAAACCCTACGGACATGCTGAAGGCAGAGGGAAAGCGTTGGATTTAGGACAAGCAGGCACACTGGGTTTAGGACAGGCAGGCGCATCAGGTTTAGGACAGGCAGGCGCAGGAGCGCTCTCTTGCTCACCCATAACTGATGCTCTCCTCTGCAACCTGAGCAAGGCTGACACACAACACTCCTTTGCCCAAGGAGCCATCTTTTTAGCAGACCATCCACTTATGATACTGCTTTATAAATAATAATAGCTTTTAGGAGGCCTGCCTCATAATGAGCCCTAAATCAAGTTAAAAGGCCGCTCGACTGGGCGCGACCTGAAATGATGAGCTTCAGCGCTGCCCTGAAGTACACACAGCTCTGAACAGCCCAGGACCGGCGCAGCCCCCTAAATGGAGTTGTCCTCGTTTCCTTCAGCCAGTTTGGGCTGGATGAAGCTCCCTGTCTTCCCTACAACAAGCAATTGCAAGACAGAGAAAGCGGGGGGAAATATCTTCAGTTATAGCTGCAATAGCTGTGAAGGTTACATGCAGCCATGAAGACGTTGTTACAAACCCAACAATTGTAAATACCACAATTAAGTCAACCCCCACCAAAAAAAAAACCAAAAACATTAAACGGGGATTCTGGCCAACTATATACAAGGGTTGCATTATCTCATTTTAAGTTTTAAAAATTATAATTTTGATCTCAGCTGTACCTCTGGAGTTTAAGGCTTCTCGTGAAAGCTGAGCTAGCTTGTGGTTTAAGGGGACTATCACAGGAGGAAGAGTTACAGTCTTGTGGTCTCTTGGATGAAGAGGGATGATGTTGAAATTAAATGTGAAGCCTCCAGGCTTTCCTGCAAACATTTTGAAGTCTTAAAGCAATCAGAGAGGGGAAAATGTGTCACTATTTGCTACAGCCTGCTCCTAATCAGGCCACTGAAATCTCCTTTGCGCAGAAGTGCTTTAGCGAAGGAAATCAGGGCTGCAAAACAGCCTTTATGTAACAGTGATGATTTTTCCCTTCTGTGCTAAGAGCTGTGCCAGTTCTCCGCTTCTCGATAATTGCCGTACAATCCATTAGAGGAGTATTTAACTTGACACGTCACTGGAGCGGCAGCTCAGCTCCAGGCACTGCCATTGCCAGGCAAACACCACTGCAGGCAGGGTTAATGCCAGTCTGATCATGGAAAGGCCAAACCAGAGAAATATCAGACAAAAAAAGCAGCCTGTGAAGCTAGGAAATTGAGCTGGGGGTCCCAGCACGGGTGGTGGTGGTGGTATAGAGGTGCTTGCAGGGCATCGTGCATCCCAGCTCAGGGCGGCTTTTCTGGCTCAGCTGCCGGAGTCATCCCCGAGCTTCCCAGGGATGAGATGGCTACCGATGCATCCACACCAGATACAGGATAAAATCTGGAGGGTGATGGAGCAGAGAAGATGACCTGATGCCTATGTGAGCCACACTGGGGGACCTTGGGGTCTTTATAGTGGCTTAATGGGTACTTAAATAAAGGGACGACGAAAGCACGGAGCCTTGGTCTGCAGTGAAACCCGAGCGTGAGGAACAGCACCGCCTCACCTCCGAGTCCTTGTCCAGCTGGTTCCTGACCACGATCATGTTGTACAGCACCCGGTCGTCATCCGCCTCTGTGTGGGTCACGTCGTGCGGGGTGCTCCACAGGTTCTGCTCCTCATCCCGTGCCAGCGTGGCTCCAAAGGAGGCGTAGGGGTTGTTGTTACTGCAGAGAGGGGGAGAGGCAAGGCAGCATTAGCTACTGCAGCATCGCACTGCCTCCTTTTACCTTCCCCGGGTAAAGTGCCCATTTCTGTGGCATCCCCTCTCGCAGCCCAATGTGCTGCCTGGGAGAGAGGAGGAAGAGGAGGAGGGGGAATGGGAAGGCAGTCAGAGTTTTTCACCTTAGCAAACATCCTGACCACACAAGTCATGGCTCAAACCAGGCTGTGCTGCCATGAAACCAAAGACATCAGATATTATTTGAGCAGCTAGGATGGAGGAACTGTGAGCATCCATTTGCAAGGATGAAAGGTGGCATCTCCCCGTTGCTCCTGCAGCCCCCTGCCCTGCTCCCCATCTCGCCTTCCCACCCCAAACCTGTGCAAGCCCCCCCAGCCTCTCTGAGCTTAATGTGGGAACAGTTCTAATTAACTTAGACTCAAAAATCCCAGTGGCTCCGGAGGGTATTTTCACTCTGCTCAGCTAACCCTGCAGCCGTGCCAAGATCCCAGCGGCACGATCTGTCCCCGCAGAGATTCTGTGTGCAGAGGGGTATGCCTTGAGCAGCAGGCAAGGGGATGGCCGCATGCAAGGCCGCATGCAAAGCCTCTCCCTTGCCTCTTGGCCAAAGAAGCAGCTTCTACCCATCTTCTCCTCAAAGGCAGTGCTGTTGGGCACGGTTTTATTTTGGACAAAATACGTGCCACCTTTGCTGAGGGAGCTGGGACTGCTAAGCCTGGGGAAGAGATGGCGTGGGGGGATCTTATCCATGTGTATAAATACCTGATGGGAGGGAGCGAAGGAGGTGGAGCCAGACCCTTCTCAGTGGTGGCCCATGATAGGACACACATTGAAATATAGGAAATTCTGTTTAATCATAAGAAAAAAATGTTCTACTGCAAGGGTGGGTAAACACTGGCATGGGTTTTGCAGAGAGGTTGTGTCTCCATCCTTGGAGACACTCAAAACCCAACCGGACACGGTCCTGGGCAACCTGTTCCAGCTGACCCTGCTCAAGCAGGGGTTGGACTGGATGGTCTCTAGAAGTCCCACCTCCATGACCATGTTTCTGTGTGACCCCACGGCTCTGTTTTCTCCCCAGCAGCCCAAACCCTACCGAACCAAGCAGGCAATCCCCACAGGGGAAAACACGCCCTAGCAGCTCCTACCTGAGAGGTACGGCAATGCACTGAGCTGTGCAACGACTTGTGCCAAGGCATAGAAGGGACGTGTAGCCCCATCTTTATTTTGGGGATGGAAATGTCCTCAGCCTGCTTATGAACTCCTGGCTTTATTTGCTTAGCAGTCAGCAAAGCAGAGCATCATCTTCTGGGAAGGCTGTCCCTGCCAAGGCAAGGACCTTTTCTTTGCACTGGTGGCAGTTCTGTGTTGTACGGCTTTATGTTGTTACTGGGACGTGCATTTTTTTCATATAGGATTATTTAATTCTGCTGGGAGAACTTTTAGCAGAGTATTTCCATAATGTTTCTAATCAAGACATCCAGATGCATGAGAAAAACAATGTAAACTGAGAAATATTTTTGGCCTTACTCAACAGCCTCATCAGCCATCCTGCGCCAATCCCTGCTCGCTTCTTGTTAGAACAACCCACTGTTTATTCTGTTTGCTACCCAAACCTCATTCTTTTTGCAAGGAACCCATCCAGTGAAACCTCAGATAACACTGCAGGTGCTTCAGCTGTGATGCCAAGCCATAAAAAAGATGCTAAGATGAGCTCCAGCACATAGATAAAATAGGAAAAAATCATTCACATCAGCATTCCTGGAGGAAGGCTAATTAGACTTTCAACAAGCCAAAAACCTGAGCAACAGGTAATAAGGGAAAAGATAATCTCTTACAATCTCTCATTAAAGACAAGCAACCAAACTTAACTTGGAGGGTGTGGATAGAATAACTCAGCTGTTCCTACACCAGAGCCAGCATGGGTTTACTCAAACCATTTTTCAAACATGGAGCAGGCAGGATCCCAGCCTGGAAGGGAGTAGGCAGGATCCCAGCCTGGAAGGGATCACTCAGGAGCCATCCATGCTATCAGCATGAGTTCAGTCCCATCTTGCCTTTGACAGGCTTCTTCCCGCTCAGTGAGTTACCAGTACCCTTAACATCCGACTTACTTTAAAAACCAATATTTGGCAATAACACTAACATGCCTCAGCTTTTACAAGGCACTCCCTCACAGCTTGCAAGGCGCTTCCCAATGCATCTCTATTTCCAAACCACGGCACGGAGCATCCAGCAGCCTGTAAGGAATGTGGGTAGTGCCCAGGAGTTAGCAAATCCATACAAGCATGGACAGCTCTGCCAACAGCAAGCACCCCCAGAGCGCGCTGGACTTACAACCAACATTTAAAATGAAGAACTGGAAGGAAAAAAAGGAGCACATGAATGGCAGTCTGCTTTGCGGGTTACAGGAGTCTCCATAGGACCAGAGGGGACTTGGACCATTTCACACCCTGGGCTTTATCCAGAAAATGGTGAGTGCTAATGCTTCATCAACAAATTTCTGCTCCAAGGGCCTTTCAGTCCAGATTAAACCCATTTCAGGATTCAGAGCCCAAATTCTCAGTTTATATGCATCCTGAGGACACCATCTGAGCCAGATCTCACCTCCCCACATTGAGAGACAGCCAGGCAGCCTGGATGCTTTGCTGCATTTTGGCCAGGGTTTCTTTTCCCAGCCCTGCACTAGTGCTGTGCCTATATCCGTACTCCATCTCTACCTCCACGCGCAGCACTGGCTGCTCTCACTGCCCTCGTCACGGGTTACAGCCAGCCTCATATACACTCAGGTAATATATGCACCTAATTATACACATATGACCTCCTTCTCACTGCTTCGTTCTTTGACACATCAGATTTTTGAGGCCGCAATCACTCCGCTTGGGGAAAATAAGGTGAAACGTCATAAAGTCAACATTTCGGTAGCAACACCAGGTCCCAAAAACTAAAACTCAGCTAAAAGATCTGAAATCTCAAGCAAGTCATTCATTTTAAACAAAGCTGCGATAAAAATAAAAATAGAGCAAGTGTGGTCCTGCAAGATCCCGGCTCTGAAATAAAACCCCAAAATCCTCCCAAAGAGGGACAAGCCAGCGATTAGGCTGTTGGATTAATTATGCTGGCACACTTGTACCAGAGTAGGTGCCTTTTGAATGCCCGGCATTTATACAGGCTTTCCTACTTAGAGCCAGCATTAATTGGATTGCCAGCGGAAGGCGTGTTACTAAAGAAAGGTGCTCAGCAAGGGACAGCCACTCCGGCTGACAAGGCAGCAGGAAGGAGCCTCTCCGTGCGTGTGCTCGCCTCTCGTTAGGTTAATGCCAATTTCCTGGGCTGGAGGCCCCATGCTCAGGATTATCTGGTTATTATTTAGGTAACTGCTTTAACAGCACAGAATTAGGACATTCAAGCCCTGTCGCCGGCTCTGTTGTTAGCCGGTACCTATGTAGGCCACACCGGGAGCATTCCATCCTCCTTGAAATGCCTCTGTCCCACCGATGACACACGGAGAGCACGGTCCCTGCCCCGTCCCAGGGTTGGGGTACCCGCTGCAGGCTTTGGTAGCAGCCAGGACCCCGGCCGGCAGCTGGGCAAGGAGGGAGAGGTGCCGCAAAGCCCGGGCGCAGATGTTTTGCCACATGCAAAAAAACCTCCTTATGCGCCTGGATAGCTCACAGCTCTTCTCCACGACTCAGGGCTTCATCTTTTTGTACGAAA